ATTGATGTTAGATTCACCTAGGCTAATCTCGCATCAACTAAAATATTACATTAGAGCAAACGTTAACTATGATACATGAAACTTTTATTTTACAATGAAATACAATATCTAATCATGAGCAAACACCACAAACGAAGAGTAATTATATGTCGATGTATTTGTTCTCTTTGTTCACGTTCAATCAATATAGTAATTAGTTTTTATATTTTTTTCGAAGTTTACTTCAGATTCTCATGTACATAGCATTAAAATATTGATCGTATAAAAATTTCGTATTCTTCGTTCTTGAATAGTACTCCTTGTTTAATTTGTTACTGTTCTATGCAACTATTTGTGCTTTTATTGCTATAATAAATATCCTATTTGTTTTTTTTTATTCTAAATAACCGATTCTACGTACAAAAAAAAATCACACACATACACACAAAAATATGACAATTGCAAATAGTAAAATTAATCATCATCATCATCATCATCGTCACTATCAAATGAACGACGGTGAGCAGCATTTAATGATCGAGCAGATAATTTCATAGTATCAGCTACATCATCATCTTCATCATCATAATTACTAATATTACGAGCTTTACTTTTTGATTCTTCAAAATCAGTTGAATAAATTTTTTCGCCAGTTTTTGTACTTAATAATAGATCTTCATCCTCATCCTCATCATCAATACTTAATTGATGTCGTAATGGTTGTTTACGTTCTTTTGATTTTGATGATATTGATGAATCAACATCACGATCAGAGAATTGTTCATTATCCTCATGAATTGAACTTGATTTTTTAACAACAATTGTTGGTTTAAGAATAATACCTTGTGGTGAATCAGATGGCGATGATGATAATGACGATGATGTTGATGATGATAATCGATTTTGTGGTAGTTTTCGTTGTTCAAATGCTGTTGTTGTAAAACGACCTGTACCTTCCATAGGTGATTTTCGACGTGGAATATTTTCATTATCTTCTGAACGAGATATTTTACTATCAGTATTAATATCTTCTTCAAAACTTGATGTATATCGTTCATTTTGAGATGGTGGTGATATTGGTGAATGTTTTCGATCAATTTGTTGTAATGGACGTCGATATTGTTGTTGATAGTGATGTTTTTGTTCTTTTTCAACATCAGCTAATGATATTTCTCGACCAAGTAATTCATTTTCAACTAATTTTTGACTCAATTCAATAGTTAATACTTCAACTTCATTAACAACAGAAAGTAATGCTTCGTCAAGTAGAAATTCAGATAATCTAAATAATAATAGAATAAATTAATAGTATAAAACATGCATTTATATTTTTTTAATTAATTGTCCCCATTGCCTTGAATAACAAAAAAACAAAATAATTATGCATGTCTATAACCATAAATTTTTTTTATATATAGTCCAAGATATTAACCAACAGATATCAAAGAAAGAACTGTTATGAATATTTCGATTAATATTTTCAATCTTTCTGCAAAACTTTAACAATTGTGTAGTATATATTAAATTTAATAATTACTAACCTATTAATAACTTGACATGGATCAAAATCATCCTGTTTAGCTGATTCTGTTCTTTGTAAATAATTTCTAAAATCTTTTCGATAACGTTCAATTTGTCGTATTTTATTTGAATCTAAACCTTGTAATCGAATATAATCTCGAGATGAAGATTGTAGAATTTTTTTTTCAAATGCTTGTTTATTTTCATTTGATTTTGTTATAAAATCATCAAGTATATATTCATGATGTGGTCGATGTATCTGAACATTTTCTGGTAATATTGATTTTTCTATTGGATCAATTTGAAATTTAACTGTTCGTCGTGTTGTTGTTTCTTGTTCTAATCGATTTGTTTTATAATTTTGAATACGTTGTCGAATTTGTGACATATCATCTTCCCATGTAGAAATTTGTGTTTGATAAATATCAAGATTAGTACGACGAGCATGTTCTTCTGGTGTTTCAAAAACTTCAAAATTAGTTGTTGATGTAAGAATTTTTTTTTGTTCTTGTATTGGCATTAACATTTGTATAACACGTCCAACTATTTCATCATCATTCAAACGATTATCAACAAGAAACATTGGAATTAATGTTCGTGCACGTTCAATTTGTTCAGATAATTCACGTCCAGTATAATTAGCAAGAAGACGTGGTGCTAATTTACCAAGAATATGATCAACAGTAAAACGTGAATAAAACGGTGTTTCAATTGTTGAAGCAGATTTTATTGATGGTAATGGTGAATGACTTCGTGCTCGAGTTTTATTTTGTATTGATATTGTTGAACGAGATATAGATGATTTATCAGTACGAGGTAATCGTACTGATTCAGCACTACGTGGACGTAATACTGATGGTATAACTCGTGGTTTTCGTTGTTGTTTCTTTTTAATTAATTCATTGTAAATTGCAGGTAAAAGTTGATTCGATGGTGATGCACGATTATCAGAAATTGGTCGTTGATTAATACTTTTTGATGAAGGATTATGAAAAAATAATGGATCAATACGTAATTGAGATAAATGAAGTACATCATTTGCATTTGTTAAAGTTTCAAGAACAGGAAGTATAGCAGTAAGAAGTTGTTGAATAGGTATATCTTGTGATTTAAGCGGAGCTTCATTTGCAAGAGTTTCAATAGCAAGTAAAATTGCTTTATAAGCATTTAAATGACGATGAATAAGTCGAGGCTAAAATATAAATAAAATGATCGAATAACAGTGATGTCAACTTTCAAAATAAACTACTCAACATAAAATATAGAAGATTTATAATCCGACGGAGAGTTTTACAAAAAAAAAATCCTTATAAATATTTTTTGTCAAAGATCCTTGCAATATGAAGATATTCGTAAATTTTAAACATACTAAATTAGCATCTGATTGTTGAGCATCATTAATTATTTGTTTAAGTTCTTGATGTGCATTATAAACAGCTCGTGAATCACGTTTTATTCTTTCACGTTTAAGTCTTATTCGTCGTTGTTTTTCTTGTTCAGTTTCATCAATAATATTTTCTCTTGTTGGTGGATTATGTAAAATACGTAATTGTACAAGAAGTTGTTCATGAATATCAGTTATTTCATTTTGTTTACCAATAGAAAGTGCAGCATATGGATCATTTGGACGAGTAATATGAATTGGTGTTGGTGTTCTTGGTGAACGATTTATTTCATTTCTATTATCTTTAAATATATATCAAGATGAAATTAGATTATTAATTAATATTAACTAACCTTTTTTAGATACAATAGATTTTTTTGGAACTGATTTTGAACGAGTTGATGGATTTTTTGAACGTTGTTGTGATTGTGATGAACGAATATTTCGTTGTTGAAATGTCGGTTGAATAGAATTTTTTTCATTCATTTGTTTTTTCCATTGATCTTCTTTAAGTTTACGTTTTGCTAAAAATTGATACATATTTAATTTATTTGTATCAATTGATTGAAGTTGAGGTGATGATGGCATTGTTGTATCAAATCGAGGAATAGTTTGTTGAAGAAAATGTGGAGCTCGACCAAAAGAAATCGGTGCAGGATGTGTTACATTAATAAGATTAAGAGGAGAAACAAATGCATTTTCATGAAATTGAAGATAATTTTGAGGTAAATTAGTATTTGATTGAGTTTGTTGATACATGATTAAATCTCTTATTAATAACCTTCTTCTTCTTTTGATTCAGAAGAAAAAAAAAGATCATCATTGTTGTCTCGACGACGAACATTCAATGTCGAATAACAGAACTATTCAATAGAGGACGCCTCTAACAACAATGTCAAAATGAGATTGTATGTTATATCAAGACAAATTATTCTTTACAGGAAAAAAGTTTTCATCTAAACCTCATTAGAATATAAACCAATGATATATCTCAATAATTTTAAGAGCACTCTCAATTTTCTCAAGAATGACTTGACCAAAAATGTTGAAACTTACAGAATAGATTGATCTTGATTAGTAGAGCAAAAGTTGTCATAGACTCAGAATTCTTGAATGTCTTCGTCTATGAGATAAATGGAATGCAAGGGTAAAAATGAATTGAAGGTTCTTTCGCAAACAACCATAGTTCATTTTTTATGACTGAATTTATTCGTCACAACTAGGACCTAATTGAAGTGTAAATATTGTTTTCTGATTTGCCAAAAAAAAACTTCCTTTCTTTTATGATGCTGTTTAGATGGTATCTCAGTAAGAACACTTCTAGAATGTTTTTAATCATCCTAAGACTTACACGGAGGTAAAAGATGAAGCTGAAAACTCGCATTTAGTTGAGATGAGATATTCGTGAGTTATTTCGTTCGAAAGATAGAATAGTATTTTTTAAATACAGAATCCAACTGATTATGGCACAACCTTTGTATTGATGAGATTAAAAACTCCAGACAAGAGATGGTATAGAAAACTTGAACTGAGTGCACCTTGAACAAATGATATCGTCTCTCCTAGCAAATAAAGCAATTTTCTCAATCGTTAATCTGATACGATCCATTTCAACCGTAACACAGGAGGTTTCCTGGATACATTTCATAGCATAAGTCATGGCTTCTAATAACCTATCGTGTTCTAATAAAAATTAGAATGATATTATATTCAAAGAAAAAAATTCTGTCAGAAGCCATAATATTTCTCAACATGCATTAGATCCAAAAAATTTTATCAATACATCTTGAGCTCAAATAAAAAACAATGACACGATTGATGTGATGATGAGGATCGTTGGATTATAACCGCTATTCAAACTGGTTTCTTGCAGATGTATCTCGAATGAGAATATTTCATTGTTCACTTGAACATATTGGAAGGCTGGCTACGAACATCAGTAATATTGTGAATCTTCACTTCATATCACATAGAGGGAAAAAGAAAGGAAAAATGCAGAACAAAATGTGGAAAGAGAAACAGATCAAAAAGAGAAAATATCGAACAAAGAACCTCAAAACAGAAATTTTGAATGTAAAAATACAATGAAAAATTTGAGTCTCATTAGCGAAGAATGTTACGATTCATCGAAGCGTACACGCACAACTAAGTTTTTCGGAAAACAGGTGATTCGTTCGTCATAATCACCAGTATTTTCCGGTGTATCTTCGAATGTGATACCACGTTGCATCATTCGGACAATAATCGTTTTCAACTCTAGCCAAGCTAATTCTTGTCCAATACATGCTCGATGTCCACCACCGAATGGGATCATAGCGAATTGAGGGTAATTTTGATCTTCAGCTAAAAATCTTTCTGGTGCGAATTGTTGAGGATCAGCATGATGCCAATAGCGAGTATCAGTATTGATGTTATGTATAGCAATAAAAACAGTTTGACCACGATGAATCTTCGCATTGTCAATCATTGTGTCACGTGTAGCTATACGCGTTGTGAGCCCAGCCACAGGAGCCAAACGTAAGACCTGCATGCAAAGGAGAATATTACAAACATAATCTAACATTTCGAAACAAATCTAACCTCTTTCGTCACACATTCACAATAGGTTAATGAAGATAAATTGTCTAACGTAAGTGGTAGTACACCTGTGAGATCATTAGTCATCAGCAGATGATGTTCACGTAATTCATCTTTCATTCGTTGTTGTACTTGAGGATTTTTACTTGCGAAGAATATGAACCATGAGAGAGCAGCTGAAGTCGTTTCATAACCAGCTAGAATCATCATTAAAACTTCATCGAACATTTCCGCTCGTGTTATACCGGATGAAGCATGTTCATCGTTGACTTGTTCATTCAATGATGAGACCAATGATGCAATCAGATTCTTTGGCCGTTCATTTTCTATGTCAATCTGTTTGTTTTGTTCTTCTTCGACGAGTTTTTCTGTCAATTCATGAATTAAGCGATAGGCTCGTTGATATTTCCAATTAAATTTCAAATAAATTTTCCATAACCACCGAGGTACCCAGGGTGTCATCATAAGCAATGTAGCATTGAAAAGAAAATCTTGAAAAGCTTCTTTTATTGGTGAATTAACATGAATATCGAAATCATGATCAAATCCAATGAATCCAATGACATTCATCGTAAATGATTGACAGCATGTGATCAAATCTCGATGAACTTGACTAGGATGAAGATTTTGGTCAATAATACGATCAGCACATTCAACAATGGTCTCCAAGTGGCTTATAATCTTTGCTCGTTTTAACATTGGTAACAGAACTCGAATATGTCGTTTCCATTTAGCGCCAGTCAGCAGCATAAGGCCATTTGGACAAAGAAGATCAAAGTTTGGAAGAGCTAATGGCGCTCGTTCGAAAGTATCACGATCCGAAAAAATCGTTTGGGCATGTTCCATTTGACAGAAAACTAAACATCGATGTGACCCGAACCAAAATTGAAACTTGTCGCCAAAACGGCGTTGATAATCAAACATCACTTCACGAAACGTTAATCTTCTCGACAATATACCGGAATTAATTAGATTACCAAAAAACAGATGCGGTTTGACTCCTGGTAGATCATCCGGTGATGGGGAGTAATATCGTTTCGAATAGATATATATCAGAATAAGAACGATTACAAGTATGCTTGCGAATATAATCGATACCATGGTGAAGAAAGCTGTCATCCGTAATATTTAGGATCAATGTGCGTCATTAAAGAAGCGCATGTTTTCTTCTTCTTTTTTTTTTGGAGGCGTTTGTGTTTAATAGACAAGCATAGGGCAGAACAGATAGAAAAGAAAACGAATGAAAAATAACCATATTGGATTACTCGTTAAACGAATCCTATCAAAATATATGTTTACCATGATATCAATACGAATGGTCTTCTGACTGATACTCCGAAGACACTTATTAGCCAGTGATTATTACCTAATACGCTGTGTGATGTTTTTTTTTAAACTGAGTCATATATTAAGACTTATGTATATGCAGAATCAATATAATTTGAATAATATTTCTTTTGGTAAAATTGATAGATGGTGCTCTGCCCTAATTATGTTTGCCAACGAAAATGTTTTACTATCAAAGGTCATGAAAATTTACAGCCGCATCATCTGTTTTGGCTTAGTTTTCGACTTTGCTCACTTATAATAAAGATACGGTGGCTAATAAAACGAACAAAATAGAGAAATTAACCATGACCGTAATGACAATATGATATAACAACGTTGTAACCGATGTCTAATTTTCTGACAAAATTATCTTTTTCATTGACCCACTTGTAAATTGTTCCCAAACGAGTGCCTCAATAGGTTTGTGTTACAAAGAACATATAGTAGAACTCTATAATAGGAGACTAGATGCAACTACAGCGATTCAATATGTCCAGAATTAACTAGTTCGTAGGAAAATACGTCAATCTACAGATTAAATAGACTCGTCATCGCTATAATAAATAGTGATCTGTAATACAAAACGTAGTGCGATTGTTATTAAGCCTGTTTCTACTAGGATCTATCGGAACATGCAACCCACGATTAAATGTCAAGCGCAACAGTTCTCTTAGATTCCATCACTGAGTAAATCAATAGATGGCTTCCACGATTTATGATTTCTACGCGTTGAATATACTTACGAGGGAGGTACCCGAAGTGATTAATCGGTTTTGAGTTCGAACTCTGTGCACAAGGTAGACCTCAGTAAGATATGAAAAACCCTAAAAAGATAAGGGCCCATAGGCCTTTCCTCCAGAGTTATAGCCATTTTACTGGAATTTTAGCCTATAGCATAGTGTACGCTAACAAATCGAATGACGATATTTTGGTCTGAAATTTTGTCTACGGATAGGTCTACTTGTAACTAGAAGGCTCTGAAATTTTCAGCTAAAAGATATGTTTTCTTCACGAAATATTGAACTTTCAAAAAGACAGGAGCCTCTCACATCTTTCATGAAATAGGGGTGATTTTCGGAGATTTGATATCTCATGAAGAAAACATATCTTTTAGCTGAAAGTTTCAGGGCATTCTAGTTACAAGTAGGCCTATCTGTAGGCAAGATTTCAGACCGAAATATCGTCATTCGATTTGTTAGTGCATACCATGCTATAGACTAAAATTCCAGTAAAATGGCTATAACTCTGGAGGAAAGGCCTATGGGCCCTTATCCTTTTGGAGTTTTTCGCATCTTACTGAGGTCTACCTTGTGCACAGAGTTCGAACTCAAAACCGATTAATCACTTCAGGTACCTCCCTCGTTAGTTAAAATAGATCATAGAAAAAAAAAACTAATGAAGAGAGCAAAAGCTTGTTCAATATGATAATGCACTTCGAATTCGACTAAAAAAGATGCATGTTTTACTACCCAGTCAGACAAAATTCTTATAGAACGCGTTAAAATGCATCATTTTTTTTCAGATTCACGCGTTTTTTTCTCGTTTTCCTTAAATAATTCAACGCATTTAAACGAATTTGTTTCTCAAGATTCCTTTGAAGGCAGTATTTTGGGGTTATTTGTGCTTATATTAGCATATATCATGTGAAAATTTGTTTTTTTATACACAGCTGTGATTTCTTTTCACATTTCATTATAAACACAGTGAAATGGAAACGAATATTTTGGATGTTTTTTTTTTGCCTGATCTATATTGTTAATGCCTTTGAAGTTTTTCATGAAACGTGATCTCTTTAGGATAGTACAGTGCATGAAATACCATAGTTCTGAATGATTTTAATAATATCACATCATCACTCTTAGAAAATGCTTTGAGTCCGCATAAGTTGATTTACATGACCCAACTGTTGATGAAAGGTTGAAATGTATTTTTTTGTTTTTATTCTCGATCTGTAGTTTGATGGTTTAAACGAAAACAAAATCCATGTTGATATAAACACCAATATAATTATATAGAAATTCTTCAGAAAATTTTTTTCTGTTTTATTGATTGATCTGAATTTGGTTTTCGATTTTAGTGGACATTTTTTAAAGAAAACACGAAATCCGAGATATTGCAACATCATCTATAACAAAGCCGTTCAATTTTCTCTAAAGCATTTGAATTGAAATCAAATGAGCTTAACGAATTTTCTGTGGAAACCTTATTGTATCAATACTGTAAAAAAAACAAATAAAATCAAGATAGACTCAAAACTTGTAAAACATTCTTATTTGTGTTATTTTCACACAAAATTCACTGGTGAGATGCGATTCTTATTCTCAGAATAGTTTTTACCGTAGAGTTTCACGCGTTACAGCAAGTTGGAGTTACAAATTGAATTTTTCATAAACTGAAAAATTCAGTAGAAAATCAGTATAAGATCTTTCAGTCTTTATTTATGAGCTATTGATAATACTTATATCACTATCAGATTAACAATAAAAACAAGATTTTATCATCAAAAATATGTATATAGGAGATTCGAATAGATTCCATGTCTAATTGTTCATTATTTGGCTATGGGTAATCCAATGGACAAGATGAATGAATTGTTAGACTTTGAGCCTATTCTAGTTTATATATATCTTTGATTGCAAGATTTATTTCTTCATTCTTAATCTGATAATGGCACAAGTACTTTTGAAAGCTTATAAGTAAAGAAATAATAAAACCTTATATTCCTCCTTTATTTGATTTTGCATTACTGATCGTTAATTTGTGAAGTGAACAAATAGCTAGAGAAAATATTCGGAAACTGCAAGCTCAGTTAGCTGAAGAATAGTGCATATAAGTTCTTAGTTGTTTTAACATTGTTATAATAATGTTAAAATAATAAACGAATTCTCTAGACGTTCATTTGGAAAGAAACTTCTTCAACTGCTCTTTTGACTTCAAAAAAGATTTGATTTCATAATTAGATTCGGTCAAGATATTGAGTTTTTAATGTATATTTTCAAGAAGTTTTGTAGAACTCGGTTTTTTCAGATAAAACTAATCGTCGAACTTTGACCTGAAACTTGCATATAAAAGCACTTTAGATATACTAGCTGCCATAGAAAAGTTCAGAAGTTTTAAACGTAGTCTCTTCGAGCTGTGAAACTATCAAAAAAACTCATATTCTATTCACCATCTATAGACAAGAGGTTAGATAAAGAAAGTTCAATATCTCACAATGACTTTGTTCAAAACCACTGAATATTTTTATGGCACCTATTATATCTAGTGTCTCTATATGTGTAAAGTTTCAGGTCACTATGGGGTGTGGGTGAGATGTGGATGTGGATAAACAGAATATTCACACCCACACCCTACGTATTGGTATGCTCTCTCAACAAAACTAAATATTGTATAGCATGTAGACCCTCAAAGCATTCTGAGTTTTACGATAAAAAAAAATCATGAAACAAAGAAATAGCAAAAAAAGGTTGTCTGCCTTTTCGGATAAAAAGCAAAATTTTCAAACAGAGAATGAAGGAAATCATTTAAACTTATGGAGGAACAATATGGCAAATAAAAATATCATGTTGCTCAAGAAATGTCAGATTCGAAGCTCTTTTTCTATGAATTTATCTCTATGTTCATTTCTTTGAACAAAAATTGTCTATTTTGAACAACAGAGGCTTAAAGAACCAGTAAGAACAACAAATACATTATCTTGATCTCTCTCTTTCGTTTTACAATACTGTAAACGAGCTTGCTACTCATATCTCTAACAAGAATCGTGACGAAAATTCAGAAACTAGTCGATTTATCTTTTTGTATCGTTATCGAATTAGGTTGATAGGAAATCAGAAAATCAAGCTCATTTAAATACACAAGAAAAAATCTAAACTCTTGTATTTCATTCTACCCTTTTGTGCTGGTATTTCTAATTTATAATCTAACACTGATGAGTTTTCTCACATATCATTTCAACGACGCTGACATTGTTATAGGATTGCCTAGAGAAAAAGGGTATCGCTAGCATAATTAATTTAACCAAAATTGTAGTTAGAAAGCAGCATGTGTTGCTAGAGTGAGTTGCAAGAACGAATACTTAAATAATTAAGTGTAAGTTCTTGTCTTATGTTTCAAGAACATAATTGCTCATATGATGACAACACTTTTTGTTGATTGTCACTCGTATTTTTAGATGTTTGACATCGAATTAGTAGTAAAATCTTCTTAACGAAGCAGTGGTATAGCTAGGGGTGCGACCATTGAGTAAGAGTGAGAATGTGAAGGAGGTTCTTCTCTAGCACAGATCCATACCCATCAGAATGAGGTACTCTCTATTTATTTATTTTATTCAGAAGAGAGTGGGGCACAGGGAGAGGTTTGAGATTAGATCGAAAGTAAAGAAGGTTTAGGAACCTTATTAGATGGAGATGAGCTGAGTTATTCCCAATGATATTCTTGTTAATATATAGATCCTCCACGCAGGTCATAAAAGTTGAGTCATGAACTGTCTGGAGTCTGTAGCGTACAACCAGATCTCCACCAGACTCTTTGATACATCTGACGTCGATGATTTGAGTCTGTCACATGCATGCGAATAGAAGAGTCATTTCTTTCATCAATTCAGTGTAATTATTTGAGAGAAAAGAAAGAAAAAAAGAGTAATCTTTTTTGAGTCTATTCAATAGAGAAACGTTGAATACGATCATTTAACGTATCAACGACATATAGATTGCCATAGTGATCGAAGGACAAATCCATGGGACCATTGAGTTGATTTGATGCTTTTCCATAACCATTTCCACCGACAATGATAGTACCTTGCTTCGCTTCTTTAGACCAACGCATCACTCGATTATTCTTCCTATCTACCACATAAAGGGTACCCAATGTATCGACGAACAATCCTTGAGGATAATACAATTGTGTCAGAGCAGCCCCTTCACCTTGACCCCCAGCGACGACAGTTCCTTCCGTTGCACCTTCTTCCCATTTTATCACACGATGATTCTCGTTGTCTGACACATAGATAGTCTGCTGTCGATCAACAAAGATGTAGGTCGGACTGTTGAGTTGATTGAGACTAGCACCGTTGCCATTACCACCAGCCACAAGAATTCCATTCTTGTCTTCCATATGATATCGTCTTACTTCGTGTTTTTCATCATCAGAGACATAGAGGTATCTGTGATCATCCATGGCCAATCCCCAACAACGGATGTTGTCGAGGAGAATTTCTCCTTGAGTTGTGACATTAAGGCGAGACCATCGCACGACTCGTCGATTGTCTCGATCACAAATAACGAGACTATCCGTCTTTTTGTCGATCAATACATCAAATGGTCTATTCAATTGATCCAATTGTTTTCCTGAACCATGGCCACCAGCTACCACTTGTCCATTTGTATCACCCATCTTCCATTGGATAATACGATGATTCCACATGTCAGTGATGACCATCGTTTGATCATCATCAACGAAGACACCCCAAGGGCTGTTTAGTTGATTGCTGGCATCGCCATGTTCATGGCTTCCAGCAACAGTAGTTCCGTTTTGTGCCCATCGAGCATTGGAGGAAATATTAGGACTCCCTGAAATGAACAAGAAAGAAAAACGAACCATAATCGTCCTTGTCCAAGGGACTCTCTCTTTCATGGAAAAAAGTGCTGCAAATGTGTCATTGATCTTCGAAAGAAATTTGGTAAAAGTTTCAAGAATGTTCTTTCCGCAGGTAAACACTCAGAAGACTTCTATTAGTTTTCTATAAGAAAAGCTTTTTTAATGATTCTTATATCTATTTTAGCTCTTATGATCTCAATTCTGTTCATTCTTTGAGAAATTGGACTAGGATCTATGACAATTTGTATTTGAAGGGACTTGTTTAAGTTCTTGCCAAGGCTTTTTAGGTCCTGAAAAGTAGAATCTTTGCAGTGAAGGAAAATTGCACCCGTAGATTGCTGTAAGGTTTTCCGGCAAAGATCAATGCTGGACTGATGCAAGCTTTGGATAGGAAAACATAAGCATCTGAGGATTTTATCTGGTATTGTAGGAATAGAGAATCTTTGCAGGGCTATCGAAAAAGCGTACTCAGTTGCTATAAGCTTTTGAGGACTTATATGAAGGGTGAGTGTAGATGTTGTTCTATTGTTCAATCACATCTATCCACACCCACACTCCCAGCATAACTCGAATTATCTGTTGTTTTGAGCGCATTTGGATATTTTATGCATTTTTAGGGTTTGGATGTTGTAGTTGCCAACAAAACGAAACAAGCTTTGCCAATGACAGATAACAGCTAACATGGGGATTATTATGGCTTAATGTTTTCTTATGATAAAGTTTGAATCACTCGCAATATGAGATAGCTAATCTTATCACTGTTACCTTCAGCTAACTGCAGAGTAATATTGTATGTAGAGAAACTACATACATTTGAGTAAAAATTAGCATTGGGAAAGGGCAAGAAGTGTTTATCTAATGCTTACCGAGCTGTTGAATAGTGGGTGTAGTCGTAGTTGTACTTGTGATGGGCATTGTAGTTGTAGTGTTCATGGCTATTCATTATCATAGAAAATTGGCATAAACAAAGCAGATAACTTTACGTCGGACACGGAATGTAAGAAAAGGTGTTTTTTTCTTTCAAAACTGATTTTTGATGCAACATCTATATGTTCATCAGAGACCGAAAACTCAGTAAAATTTTTAATGATTCAATTTGATGTACGTTGACTGAATCAAGTCAAAATCCAATCAAACTGGGCTGAGCCAAATCCATCAAGGCCTTCCTACTCAAATTTATTATTTCTATTGTATTTTGAATGCGAACACAGATTAAAACATGCTGGCGGGTGTCGCAGTACAAAATCGTTGTCCGAAGTACGAAGTTTGTAATTTTAACCCCTCAGTTAAATTGTCCATCTGCCGTTGTGTTCGCCTGAGACTATTAGAATACTCTGTCGTCACTTCAGCAGTGTGCGTAAAATGAATATAAAGGGATATTCGATAGAACAGAATAATAGTGTATAGACAAATTGTGACGAGCTCTCTCTTGCTGTCGGAGTCTAAATTTTTAGATTCTTCTTTCTAGAAAAATTCTCTAAATTTCGACACATTGAGGCTTAGTCTCTCAAAGAAGTAGCCGTTTCAAAGATGGTCTGATAAGATGGAATCTGCACTAATTAGTAACTTCCTGAGGTAGCTAAGTTAGTGGAGCTAGAAGTTGTGAAAAAACAATTTATAGATACACTCACACTACTGATCATTAGTAGTATATCCAGCGCATGCATGAGCGCAAGCTCATGTGTCAGAGATAAATGATCAGCCTTTAGTTTCGCAAATTTGTAATCACAGTTATTATTAAAAAAAGGCTAATAAGTGAACTCCATATTCGCAAGAGTCAGTGCTGTTTACTACGAAAACTATGAATAAAGAAGTGCATGGTTGAATAGCATAGATGTGTTTTTATGAAAATTCAAACACATGACCCGTTCTACAGAATCGGATCGAATCGAACGAACTATTTTTTACTTTTTTTCAGCCTCTGATCGATATTCAAAAATTCACTGAGTTATCATGCATTCTAGAAATTTGCTTTGTTTCAACTACCCTTTTTCTACTTCTTTCAAAGGCTCTGCAGCTCTTTCCAATCATTCCTACACGAACACGAGTTGTGTTTGTTCTCTTACTTGTTATTGGTGGACAAAGTTGTCGATTGAAACTTGGAATCGGGTAACAAACAGGAAGATTATGACATCGAGGATGATGAACACATCTATGGTTAGGTTCATGGCAAATGTTGTTTGAGCGTTCACATGGAATTAGCTCAGAACAATCTACGAATTCATCGCCACAAATGCCAATGTCAATAGCACCTGCTATGTGGAAACAGGCACACGCACTATTTGGTGAACACCGATTATATTGAGATATCCCAGGACAGAATTGAGATTTCACTCCGGCAAGCGACACACTAAATAAGTGCAAAAAATGTAAAACGAAATAAGAATAAAATCTGTGCGACTTAAAAGGAAGATTGTTTAAGGTTAGATGAGTATAAAAAATAGGTTTTAGTATTACATGAATAGAACGAATACGATACAGTGAATTGCTCTTGATACCATCGTTTGCGTGGAAATGAGGCAGAATAGTGGTGGCGCCCATCTTTATATCTAAAGACGAGGTAATGTTTTTCGCATCCACTGAAAGTGAAGAAGCGCATACCGTGATCTTTCGTCAAATAGATATTTGATATTGCTCAATCGCTTTCTTAAGCACTTAATATTCCTTGAAAAAAGCAATCTTTATAGAAGAAAAAGCGTCGTAAAAACGATATTGGATTGCTTTTGTGATATAAACATTTAATAGCCTCGTGCCGTTATTCAAAATGTGAATATTGTTATTGTCAATCATCGGCTCGCTATGAAACGACGACTTAAAAACAATGTCAAGAACAAAATTTCTTTTTAATATTTATATTTTTATTACGAACAGCTTACAGAAGTTTGCATCTTGATCAAATAAAAGTCACAATCTATAATCAGTCACATTCATTTGTACTTTGGGCTGTGCATTCGTCGCATCTCAAGGGTTTGCTTGTTTGACTTTCATTTCTAAATTTCATTTTTGACATTAATATATCCAGAGTAAGAAAAGACCTTCTTTGAAAATAATGGCATGTCTACGAGTGCAGCAAAGGGTAGAATCGTTCGCCAGCAAGCAAGTTATTTCAACTGTGAAGCAGGTTTCTGCTTCCTCTGCGAAACTTTTGCTAATGGCTCGTTCCCTTCTCGTAAAGAGTTTTCAGTCACGACATTATTCGAAAACGACCTCCTCAACAACATGCTCATACCTAATCGATTGATTCACATTCGATTTTAGACTACAGAGTCATTTGTCAAATCTCAAATAAACTGCGTGGCTGTTGTGAATGTGATGTGGTGTGGGTGCGAGTAAACAGAATATTCACATCCCACCCACACTCACATACTTTTGTTTAGATATCTAAGAATATATTTCAGAGGTAACTTTAAGCCTTTCAGAAAATTTGAGCTTCTTTCTTGTTTCATGAGTGAAATACGTGAAGATTCGAAGCCAAAACTGAGTATGGGTCGTGGTGGCGGGTATAGATGTGAGTAACTAACAGATCTAGATATCATTTCCACCCCCACAATACTCATACCCTTAGCATTCGTTGACAAGAAAATGTATGTGATAAACCAAAATCAATAGATGAGCTATTTATGTTTTGTTGGTTCATATCGTTCATCCAAATACAGACTTTAATAGAAATAAATAATTCTATTCAGTCTCTAATGAACTTGTATCACTTTCTATTTGTAATAACAAAATAGTATTTTTGCTTTATTCAGAAGAGAACAAAATAAACAGGGGTGTAGGTGTGGGTGCTTGTGTTCTCCTTATTTACACCCACAGCCACAGCCGTATCCCACCCCACACCCACACCCATTTTTTCCAAATAAATAGTGGCTAAAAAATAAATTGTAGACGATAAAAATGACAGCTTAACTGAAATCGAAATCGATTTGTCAATTTTTATCCTTTCAAGACAATATTCTTGTAACATATATTCAATTGGAACCTTGTTTTCGAATTATTTTTCACAGAAAGAAAATCAATGAAATTTTGTCGAAGCTCGACTTGAAATTATATTCATGTTGTAAACTTTTCTTTTGATTTCAATGATCAAATTAAAAACGTGTGTTTTCAAGAAACAAATCTTAATGACAATTGCCGAATCCTGCTGTTTTCAGCCGCACATCTTTGATTTGAACATATGTTACTCGTACATGCTACGAATTCAATATACTCTATGTCGAATGGGAGAATGAGTGCTCAATGGTACTTGTCTATCATTGCACATTTAAAATACTTTGTTTTTAATAAAAAGTAAATTTTGAATCAGTTTTATCAGAAAAGTTGCAGTAAAATAATTCAATACCCTCGTCAGCTGGATCTATATGACAAATCGTATAGTGAACAATCTGGAAAGCAAGTGATAACGATTTATCCTTTTTTTTCTGCATTTCGTTGCTACAGAAAATATGTGGCTACAATGGAAAAATTGTACATCAGTTATTGAACGAGATAACAGCTTATTACAACTTTAGTAGAAGATAAATCATCGAGTTTGATTACATAATATCGTATAAGATACAAGGATATCACTATATTTTGTTTAAACAAAATCTCCGTAAGATACAAAGATGACATTAAGTTAAAATCATGTGTCATATTACATTTTGGTAATATGATAATTTTTATGATCAAAATTTCGCATAAGTAAATAGTAGATCCATGTAAAATCGGGCCAATTTCCTATATTATTTCCATGAGTATCTTGGCAATATGAACGACAGCCACCCGACTGCCACACTGTATTTTTCAGTTTTGATCGCAATTGTTGATTGTATTGTTCAAAAACATTTTGCTTGACCGATATGGTACTTGCACCACTTTTTTGCATGAACAGAAGCGCTTCCATAATATAATTCAATTGCGCTTCGATCATGAATACAGTTGTATTATAACCAAAACTTACATTCGGGCCTAGGATTAAGAATAGATTAGGAAAGTTAGGCATGGTCGTACCACGGTAGGCCTATATAAAAAGAAATATTCGTACATCTACAAATTGATCATATGAATATCTTACTAACTTGAATAGTTTCTGCCCATAGTTCAGAAAGTGCAACACCGTTCGAGCCAAAAATTTCAAATGGAATTTTATGCACTTGAAATCCGGTTGACCAAACGATAATATCGACAGGATATTCATTACCATCTTGAGTAACAATTGAGCTCGATGTCACGTATCGTATTCGACTAGTAACAAGTGATACGTTCGGTTTTTGCAATGTTGGATACCAATCATTGCTAACTAAAACTCGTTTACAACCAAAATCGAATGATGGTGTCAATTTCTTTCGTAATTCTTTATCTTTAACTTGTCTCATAAGATTATAATTGATTAATTCTTGACAGATATGTCGAATCGGGAGTCGGTAAGTAAACGAAAGAGCAGTCGATTCATACATCCAATAGATAGTTCCTCGAATGAATTTTTGAATAATTGGAAACATGGTAAAGAGACGTTTTTCCCATGCGTGTACAGATCGATCGATACGTGGAATGACCCAGGCTGGCGTGCGTTGAAAAACGTACAATTTTGACACATTCATCTTGTGTAATTCGGGCATAACTTGAACTCCACTAGAACCAGTTCCCACGACAGCTACTCGTTTATTGATGAAATTAATTGATTTATCCCATTCAGCTGTGTGACACATTCGACCTTGAAATTTATCAATTCCTGAAATATTCGTTGGATAGGCACCATTCGATAAGGGTCCATTGCCGGAAATTAATACTCGACAGAAGAATTGTTTCTCTTGATCATTCTTCAACCGAGCTGTTACTCTCCATATTCGTCGTTCCTGGAGCCAATCACAACGAATAACTGTTGTATTGAATTCAATGTGTCGACGAAGATCATACTTGTCTGCACAATATTCAAGGTATTCAGCTATTTCTTGTTGTTGACCGTAAAAATATGACCATTGTGGATTGGGTTCGAATGAAAATGAGTAAAGATTCGATGGAATATCGCATGCACAACCCGGATATTGATTGGCATACCAAGTACCACCGATGTACGATAGACGTTCCAATATCACATATTTATTCATGCCAGCCTCGTGCAATTTTATTCCAATGCCTATACCAGAAAAGCCAGCACCGATGATAACTGCATAATATTCGTCATCTTGAGCATCTTTGGTCAAAACAAGTTTTCGTTTTATTCTTCGATCATTACGACCGAATGATTCGAATAAAACCCAATATATCAGATGACCAGCGGAACCAACGAGTACTGTTATGCTCAATGTTAAACAGGTGATAAACAACAGTAGCAATAGTCGTAGTTTGGATGTTGATTTTTGCTCCTCCATCTAAACGAAAAAACAAGTTGTAATTAAATGTGCTCTTACACAGAACACAAGTGGATGCTATAGCAAATCTTCTTTTTCCTATTTATCAACCATTATCGTATGACTTTTTTTATGTATGCCTAAGCATGACACGCATATATCTTTTTTTCTGTTTCATTGACACACAAAGTTTTTTCTTTCGACTTGTAGGAATAGTTGGTCTATGAAACAAATGATAATTCTCAAACGAGTCTGTCTCATTGTTATCTACATGTCAGAGAGGCTATGATCTTCTTTTTTCTTGTTTCATACTGTCAGTACTCGAAAGTGCGCCTTCAAACAATTTCATCATCTTTTCTTCTCGTATTCTGGCATTGTCATTGTAATTCGTGAATCATCACTATATGATTCGATTCATCTCGACATGGACTATCTATTGATATGCTTTTTAAAAAAGATTCGAGCGGATCTTTTTTTTTCTTATCAAACGAAAAGATCAATCGTCAGCAGAATTTCTTCTGTTTTGAATTCTGCTGAAACCATATAAAAAATATAGACCTAATAAAGATAAGCTTGTGGATACTTTCTCAGCTAAAGCAGATCACCATCATTTTTATATCAACTGATATCTCTATTCAACGATGTGGGTGAGTGTGAGTGAAATATGGGAGGATGCAGGTGTACTTGTGCGTGTGGATGAAGGTGTAGTTCTTCTCTATACTCACACCTACCCCAAGATTATTAAATGTCCTACTACACTGTAAAAAAAATTCGTAGAATAATAAACCCAAAAAGGGTTGATGAAAGTGTAACGTATAATAAACCCTTTTTACCGTATGGAAAATTTTCCTAAACCCTTAAAAAGGGTTTATTAAAGGGTTTAGGAAATTCCTAAACCCTTTCATATACCCTTTCAAAGGGTTTAGGAAAGGGTTTAGGAAGTTCATAAACCCTTTAAGGGTTTATTATACGTTACACTTTCAACAACCCTTTTAAGGGTTTAGGAAAATCATAAACCCTTCGATATACCCTTAGTAAGGGTATATAAAGGGGTTTAGGAAATCAATAAACCCTTACATAAACCCTCAAAATGGTTTATGACGGTCACCAAGTACGGATGGGATTGAGCAAAGGGTTTAGGAAACGTTCATAAACCCATTATAAGGGTTTAGGAAATGCTCATAAACCCATATAAGGGTTTAGGAAATACACATAAACCCATTATAAGGGTTTAGGAAATGCTCATAAACCCATATAAGGGTTTAGGAAATTCTCATAAACCCATTATAAGGGTTTAGGAAATTCTCATAAACCCATATAAGGGTTTAGGAAATTCTCATAAACCCATTATAAGGGTTTAGGAAATGCTCATAAACCCATTATAAGGGTTTAGGAAATGCTCATAAACCCATATAAGGGTTTAGGAAATTCTCATAAACCCATATAACGGTTTAGGAAACATTCAAAAAACTCATATAAGGGTTTAGAAAACCCTCATATACCCATACAAAGGTTTAGGAAAGAGTGTATAAAACACACTCACACTCGAGACTAGTTTCGAGGCACACCATTTCAACCTGTTACTCTTTCCCCTAGCATAACAACAAAGAATTTTAGGAAACAGCGATACCAAAGTTCACAACTGTACATGTCCCTCTAAGCAAAAAACAAATTGTAAGTGGTTCGAATGATACTCCACAATAAAGTTTAGACCGCCAAATAAGATATTTTTTTTATTAATTTGACAATCTAAAATTTATTGTGGAGTATCATTCGAACTAACAATTTGTTTTTTGCTTAGAAGAACATGTATAGTTGTGAACTTTGGTACCGCTGTTTTCTAAAATTGTTTGTTGTTATGCAAGGGGAAAGAGTAACAGGTTGAAATGGTGTGCCTCAAGATTAGTCCCCAGCGTTACTTATGATTGCGTTTGTCGCGATGAACCTAAACAAAAAAAATAAATTTATATAAATAATACTTACATATTGTTATGAACTTAATATTGTACTAAATAAAGAAAAACAAATATATACATATAAATAAATACTTACTT